ATGTACATATACAACATACATAAGATTTGCACTTGTGTACATATATGTACATACACACGTACGTACGTACGTACGTACGTACGTACGTACGTACGTACGTACGTACGTACGTACGTACGTACGTACGCACATACGTACATATACACGCAGGTGCGTCACATGGTCTTTTATGTATGTACTTGTGTATAATATACTACACCAGTTTATGGGTCTCTCTGATGTCTATTCTCATAGGGATACCACACCGACTGTCTCTGAATGTGTACATAGGGCTTTGTGGTAGTAAGTGGCTGTCCGAGAGCATCGTCCGATGTTGTCCTTCGCTACACTACGCAGTCTTTCCAGCTAGGCAAGACTTTGTGTGAGGTTTTAGAGGGTTTATCTGGCATCAACCAAGGAGTTCCAGCTGCAACAAAAGGTTTTTATTAACAATATGTGTATATATATATATATATATTTATTTATTTATTTAATTTATTTATAACATAGTCCGGGTTTCAAGTTGTTTCTTGGCCAGGCCCTACACCCTAAACCTTGTGATCCAGGAGGCTGAGCTCAAACCCCTTGCTGCCAAGCCAGGAAACGCGCCCACGCTTCCATGCATGTACGCTTGTTGTTATGTACGTGTACTGGTGTTCATATGTACCTTTGTATAACGCACAGAGAGAGACAGAGAGAGAGAGAGAGAGAGAGAGCCCAAAGCCATGCAGTCAATCTGGTCTCTATGCTTGGGTGGTGTTCTACTGGTTTACTGTAGTAGCAGAGTCCTAAACCTTCACAGGATCACCATCAATGCCGCGGTCGCTGCTCGCGAGAAGGGTGCGCTACCGGGGGAACTGCCAGGCCGTTGGGGTGAGGAGTTGGGGTTCAGGGTAATATAGGGCACTTAGCTCATTACGTATTACTGTTTTGGGGGTTCCGCATTATCGTTATAGCAGAATATACCCAACCCTTGTATGATTATTAATTAAGGCCCTGGGGTGTGGGCTTTTGTATGCTATAATACTATGGGGGTTTTACATGTGTCGGGCTTCGTGTAGCAGCTGACGACATCATGCTTGCTTAAGCTTTCACTACAGTCGCCACCCCAAACCGCAATGCCTAAACGCCCTAAACCCAAAATCTTAAGTTGAAGACCATTAAACCCTAGCCCTAAACTGCAACCCCTCATGCCCTAAGCCCGAAATCCCAAGCTCTAGGCCGTAAGCCCTAAACCGTAGAGATCTCTAGGACCCTAAAACCTATACCGTAATCCCTAAGCCCTGTAGACCCCAAACCCTAGACCCTAAACCCTAAACCCTAAAGCAGTGAACCATCCGACCTCCAAGTCAACTACCTTGGATTACTCTTTTCTTGGTTTCGGCTTTAGGCTTTCCTTGTCAGATTCCTTTAAGGCTGCGTTTTGGGCTTTCTGGCAGGGTTTCTTCTAGGAGTTGTTGTCGGCTTTCTTTTGGGCTTTTCCTGCCAGGCCTCCTTTGTTCCAGGGCATCAGGCCTTTAGGGTTTAGGGTCTAGTCTCCATTGTAGTTCCTTTTTGGGGATACCTTATAAAGTCCTTAATACAATATTTTATTGGTTAAACCCAAAACGGGAACTACAATGGAGACTATAGGTAGGGTCTCGGGTTTGAAGACCACTGTCTTTGATGATGGCGAAGATGATGGTCTTAGCTCGCCTGGAGCCTAAGGCCTCTCGAATCACCAGGTTTCAAAAGCTCGCAGGTTTAGGGTTTAGGGCCTGAACCCTAAACCCTAAACCTGAACCCTTAAACCTTAAACCATAAACCCTAAACACTTAACCTGGATCTGAGTTCCTTCGAAGATCGACCCTCGACCCTAAAGCCTTCACGCATATGTTGGATTTTTGGGGGTGCAGAGCTCCGTAGCTGCATCGCAGTGTATCGGAAGTACCTACAGTCTCCATTGTAGTTCCTTTTTGGGGTTACCTTATAGGATCCTTGATATATAATTGGTTAAACCAAAAAAGGAAATGAAATGGAGACTTTTGGTAAGATAGACATGCGGTTTTGGGGTGCGGGGTTCGAGGATGACAGGTGCTCGAGGGCTCTTAGTTGTTACTACTCAGTATGCAAAAAGACCTTGGCCTATTGTAAAGCCTACTCATCGGACCTGCATGCAACCCTACCTATAGTCTCCATTGTAGTTCCTTTTTTTTGGTTTAACCAATTATATATTAAGGATTTTATAAGGTATCCCCAAAAAGGAACTACAATGGAGACTACAGGTATCTTACAGAGACTGTGGGGACATTGCCCTACGGATACTGCCGGTGCTGTCCGCTGCTTTTGAATCACGAAAGAGTTTCAATCCGACTGTTGAGAGTTGATGGGCACATTCCCCCATTTGCATTAGATACCACTAAACCACGGGATTTTGGTCATATCATGGGTCTTGGCTAGTGCGGGATTTGTCCATCAGCAGCATCAACAGAAATACGTCTCGGTATGCGAGATGCCGAACCCTAAGCCATACAAAGTTGTTTTGCCAATAGGGGCTTGCAAAACGTGCTGATAGGATAGTTTTCTCGGCCTCACCCTTGACTGCACCGACTACTTTCACTGGGCTCTTGTGAAGGATCCTGGTTACTTACCATAGATCCCCAATGGTGGTTTCAGGATTTAGGGTTTAGGGTTATGGTACTTAAGTTA